GATAAAAATGACTTTTCTTGCTTTATAAGAAAAACAAATGGAGAGAATTGTGTGCTATATCTCACTTTACCATCTACAGAGTTCATAGACAGATACGCAACATAGCCCACGGCCTAGAACGGCAGGGTTGCTGGCATGCTGTCGTTCCTGTCTTTTGTCATGTCTTTTTGTGCACTCTTCCTTGCCAGACATCTTTATGGAATTTAATGTAAAAGAATATAAAAACCAGGACTATTTATACTATACAAATACACAGGCATTATTTTTCCTAGTTTTCCTAGTTTGGGGATGATGAGAAAAAATGTAGAACCCCTGTCAGGTTTTATTGCTGTTTTTATTTCATGATTGTCACTAGGTCATAAAATCCTAATGTTTGTTATAAGATAATGCCATGTTTTGCACTTGCTTTTTCATTTTAGCTTTTGTTCATGTACATCTAGGCCTTTTTAAGTCTCCCTGCGTAGGTCATGTTTCAAGTCAAACAATGTCTACAGCCCATTCAAACTCACTGATTTAGTCTTACTCATATCTTTGACCTCTGTTGCCTTCCACTCTCAATTTCTTCTTTTCATGCTGAGGCTCATAGGTTTTGCCTCTGTCTCCTCCACCATACTTAGCTCGTTTTCAGCTATAAACACTAATGCATATATTGCTGCAGACAGCTAAGTGTATTAACATATGGTATTTAGTAAAAAGAAATTCACACAAATCTTGCCTTACTGATAGTATGCCCATTTTGCACCCTGGTAATAACCTGGCCATATGTGGAAAACCCAATTTAAAAGCAGCTCAGTCCCCAACATAGAGAGTTAATTGTACACCGATTGCTTCCACAGTTCCATGATGCTGCCCTTGGAATTCATAAATATCTCCTCATTACTGTTTTAGATGTTTTTTTCTGGCCAGTCTGGCACATACAATATACAGTATGTACTTGAAAATTCTGGTAGTCAAAGTTCTTATTTCTACTTTCATCTCCACTGTTAGAAGGATTTTAGTTGTGACCAGGGGCGGACTGACAACTCACGGGGCTCCCGGGCAATTGTGAATCATGGGGCCCCTGTGTCTTTGCCCACACTCAAAACACACCCAAATAAGCCTATAAAAGGTACCAGGGGCATTTTATGGGGCCCCCTTTTGACTCCGGGCCCTTAGGCAGTGCCCTAGTGTTCGAATGGTCAGTCCGCCCCTGGTTTTGACTGGATCCAATGAGTTGGTATAAACCTTATTCTGGACCCTGCTGGGGCTCCTCAAGCAGGTCCATCTTCTCAGTACTTGCTAAGTGCAAGACATGATTATCTCATTCTGAGCCTATGTACAAATGTGGGTGCTGCTCAGGTTCCTGGATGATCCCAGTCAATCGTCAACTGCTGGGATTGCTGGCTGAGAACAGATCTCGTCTCTGCTCCAAAAATCAGCATGTAGGGAAGAAGAAGTCCAGCAAGCAGCACATTGCTGCAAATCCACTCATGGAAAAGTATGTGCCAGTGTCAGCCTGGGCTCTGGGCAGGTCACGCCGCCAATTCCTTTCACTCCTCCTCCTGGAGCTTAAACGTGGGAATAAGATGATTAACAAGCTCCAGGGGCAGAGAAAAACACATTTTATTCCCCTTTCCAAGTTGGTGAAATATTGTAGTCAGACCAAGTTCCCATATAGAGGAACATGCTAGCAATCTTGGATTTGAAGGTGTGAAGAGAAAACCATAGTGGGTTTTGGTCTTCTTTTTCTTAAAGTAGCAAAAGTCTAATTATTCCTAAACCTGAATACTGAAATTCTCAACTACATACTGTATATGTGCCAGACTGGTCAGTAGAAACACTTCAAACTCCTATATCCTATATATACCTCATTTAAAATAAGATGTGTCTTAGTGCTGTTCGTGGCTGATTTTTATCAGCGGTGCCAGTATCCATATCAAGAGCAAAAAAAACTCCAAAATATCTACCTCAAAAAAAGAAAAGGGGGTTGGGTTGAAGGTGCCACATATGAATCTGAGACTATATATTAAAAGCATACAATTGCATTTTATTCTGTATACAAAAAAGAACATCTAAAAATCATTTAAAACAATTTCTTGTAAATTCCTTGTGATGCAGAGCGCTCAGGTTCTGATCTGCATGAGTTAATCTTGACCCTTGAACTCTGTACATTATTTAATCCTGACCACTGAACTTCCTGCTTTATTCAGGGGTCAAAAATAGGTAAAATAGAGTTCAGATATCATGATTAAAAGTTCATACAGTTATTTACAAATTGTGGCTTGTGTCTGTCATTCCCAGAGCCCAGCATTGTTCCAGGGAGCCAGGTAGACTGTATACTTCATAGTGCATGGGTTCTAATTCATCACACTGTGCAAGTATCCGTTCAAAAATGGTTTTGAGCTGACACTTGCATTTGCAGTGTCAGCCCCTGGGGATAAATCTATGGGTACTTGTTTCCTGAGGACAGACTCCTCACACTGGGGACTGTCCCTGGGAAATAGGGATGGATGAACATAAAACATAACACAAAACACAACATAACATCCCAAATAGGCAAGTAAAAGCAAGGAACACCTCTCCCCTACACCAACAGCTTCGCCCAAAGGCCAATTTCAGCACCCCAAATATGCTACTGTCCCCAGCCCTCCAACCACCATGACACCCATTACATCATTTGGCATGTGACATCAGTGGCGGCAAGGACACGCACAATATTCACCACAACCAAAACGGTTATGTTGGGACTGATAAAAAACAAACAAACAAACATGGATCGCACACTAAGTATGTCCTGGCCGACTCCATATTTAAGAAGTCCCAGTTAGGAGGCCATCTTGGGGAAGCCACATATATGTCCACTGGGAATCTGATATCCTCACAGCACAATATGATCATGGTAAGGGTATCGGCAACATGTCAATAGGGGAGCAGAGTGAGAGAAGAAGAGAAAAAAACCCTCCTGTTTTTGCTACAGCATACAGTCAGCGGCATTGGGCATGTTGGTACATATGAGAAGTGGAGAAAGCAGCCCAGGCCTAAAGAAATCCACCTGAATGAAGACACATGTCCAAACATTACCCGCTATTGATGGTAGAAGGGGAAAAAACATCTTCCAACCAACAGCCAGCTCAAAAAGGGCATAATATTGTACATCAGTTTGTATAAAGATATTATTCACCAAATTCCAAACAAATATTATATAATGTTACACTTTTTAAAATGCGTAAGTGGTATTCCCATCATAAAATATATAACATTTACTATAACTATATACTGTGTGTGTGTATCCACCTTGTGATATGTATATTTGATGTGCATCAAATAGGTTTTGTTAAACCATAACGGTAGTAAGCCATCTATTTCAATGTTATCTATTTTTTCATCCTAGAGAGACTACAAATCCAGGGTTTACATACAGTATATTGCATGGTATTTTGAGCTTTGATGTACCATGAAATGCCTAAAGCCTAACACATCGTTCAGGCCAGGGGGATCAGTGGCTTTCAATTGATGTATCCATCCTCTTTTTGCAGCAGAAGTTTATTCATGTTTCCACCACTATTGCTGATGCGTATATACTTGAGGGCGAAACATTTTATTACTGTACGGCAAAATTGTGGTAAAGATCCACATGACAGCTTACTGGTGAAGTTAGTTTTCAGTTTGTGATCAAATGAATATGATTGTTGATACAATTATATCATTTCCTCTTTGTCCTGCCCACATAAAATTTGTAATAAATATACCATTCCTATGGTTTGACAGCTGTTTAGAAAACTAACTCTGTCTATTAGGTAAAATTACACTTTCCCCTATTAGGATCCAGAGGTAATGCTTGTATTTATTGCAGGAAAAGGTGCCTTTTAAGGTGCATGTGTCTCTCCTGTCACTTTCCATGTAGTGGGATCTTTTATTGATGTTAATCTCTTAAAGACCAGCTCTGGATTATCCTGTATATATTTTATATTGTTTTGTCACGTGTAAGAAGGGGCCAATATTTAAATGGAATTTCCCTAATTTATGTTAACATGAGTACCTGACAAAAATTTTAGTTGATTGTGACTCTGTTTTGGGGGGTACATTGTAAATTAGGGTCTTACAGTAGGGAAAATTATTTTTTTTTTTGTAATTCCTTTATCTTAACAACATTTAAGCAGTTTACAGATATGGGATCAAAAGACACATAACAGAGTGTCGTACATTAGAGAAATGCCATGTCATGGATAATGGTGCTAATTGTCAAAGTAACACTGAGAAAACTTAATTCCAAAGAACAGTATGATACTGGAGCGTAGTCAGGAGACATAAAATAAAAGATACTACACAATGATCATAGAAAGGGGGTCTAGGGAAAACATGGACACTTGTGGTAGTGTAATCCCAGATATGGTATTAAACAAGTAATTACCACATTTTTAAGTGTGAGAGACACTTCCAGGAGCAGGGGGGGAAAGTGAATGAAGGGAAAACAGACCAGGGCTCCCCATTAAGGGAGAAAAAGAAGAGGGAGGAATCCTTCTCCAGGGTAGGATGCTGGAAGACATGGGATTGGAGTCACTGGGTTGTGGCTAACTCACTGAGGTAGACATCTGTGTACATGAAATAGTGCCAGGGCCTCCAAGTTTCAGTAAAAACTTCCTCTGTATTGTGCAGCGTGGCTGTAAGGTCTTCCATGTCCCGGAGTTCATTGACTTTTGTACACCATAGAGCTTTCAACGGCAGGTTGACATCTCTCCAGCGGAGAGGGAGCAGCATTCAAGAGTTGTATAATAAGGGAGTGCTTATACTTTTTAGTAGGTCTCCCTGTCAGGTGCAACAGGCAGGTCACAGGGTCTTCGTGTAGGTCAACCACAGTGAGTTGCTTAATAATAGCGATCACTGCATGTCAGAAAGGCTGGGTTAGTGGGCATTGCCAAAAGATGTGGACCATGAATCCCTCACCCACCCCGCAGCACCAGCAGGAGCCAGATATCTGAGGGGAAATGTGGTGGAACATAACCCAGATAACCTCCTTATACCATCTGGTGGTATGCAGAGCCTTACAAAGCAGTGTGCAGGAGCTGACAGGGGAGAGATCTGTATTGTTTATATACAGGTCTCTCCCTCATCCAAAATACTCAGAGTTTGCCGGATGGCAGCGGAGAATCACCGGCCGGTACCCGGTGATTGGCAGCCAAGGCCACGAATGGTGGCACGGGTAGGGCATGAGTGCTACCCGGAACTGCAGAATCACGTATATATACGTGATTTTGCGCACCCTTGCTGCCCTGTAGCAGTATTTCTGCTATAGGGCAGCACGGAAGCAGTTAACTAGGTCACTATAGGTGGAGTGCGCTAGACTGGCCTTGTGCACACTCTCAAGATGACGCAAGCGAGCTAATAAAGTGTCTACTTGTAAGGCCATTTCGCGTTTTAAAAGTGCACCAATCGTAATTAGGGAGCCCCGGATTACGGGTTTATGGGTTTCCCAGAGTAAAAGCGGGTTACCAACCGAGCCCAAGTCGAGGGGGAAATATTCAGATATGGTGCTCTCTATAGCCTGATGAATATCCGGAGATTGAAGAAGAGCTTCACTGAGCCACCAAGATTGAGGACTATGGACAGAAGAGCCGAAACACAGGGCAAGATAGACTGGGTCATGATCTGATAGAAGTATGTCATCTATACTGGAAGAGTGGACATTGGGTAAGTCCTTTTGAGAGACTAAAAGATCCAGGCTTGAGTGAGTTTAGTGTATTGAGGAAAAAAAGGAGTAATCCCTTTCCTGGGGATGCATTATATGCCATAAGTCCATTAGCTGCAGTAAATTAAGTTCTGCCTTGAGCCATTTCAGTCTGGCAAAAGAAAGGTGAGACTTGCCCCTTGAGACATCTAGGATTGTTTCCATCGCAAAGTTTAAGTCTCCACCAAATATCAGGGTTCTCTCTGCAAATTCCAGCAGAACTGGCATTACGCTATCCAGGAAAGGGAGATGGTCCACATTAGGAAAGTATATATTCGCCAAGGTGACAAAGTGAGTACTGATTTTGCCTTTGACAAAATGAAGCAGCCAATTGGATCCTGCTGCACTGCAGAGAGACCAAGGGACAGACCTAGCTATCAGAATGCTCACCCAGTTTGATCTGGATACGGCGTGAAAGGGGGGGAAGCAGAAACGGAAGAGGAGGGACAGTAGGGAAAGAGGGCGGAAAGGGGAGTGCTCCTTATGTAGCAGGAAGCGAGAATACAAACAGGGAACATGAATGGGAGAAAAAATGGGGATAGAGAAAAGAGGTCTAGGGGGGTAAAAAGAAGATGAGAACGGGGATTATCTAAAGGTACAGCGTACCAAGTTCCCGTACTGAGCACAATAGTGCACCGTAGGGGAAGTACCCTAATGGGGGGGTTGATTAAGTTAGACTCAGATTTGAAAGTCAGAGATGTGCGACCCGGAGAACCAAAACATAGCATTAGGTTAAAGTATACCGCTTATATTAGCATTTCCAAAAAAGAAACAACATTCACGTCTAAAATGTAGAGAACATGTTCCTTGAAGAAAAAATGGCGCACAGCCCAAGAAGAAATATATAAGGAACAATACAAAGACAAATGTGGCAGGGACCCCCTGGGTAAGCTCCACAAGGGAGCCCGCAGGCCAATAGGCAGAATGCTTAGGCAAAGGGGCCTATACCAACATGACATATATAAAACGAAATAGTGCTGACAGTTACCACAGCTGGATCAGGAGGATCAACTCATACCTCTGCACATTTTCCCTGCTGACAGTAACCACAGCTGGATCAGGAGGATCAACTCATACCTCTGCACATTTTCCCTTCCCAGGACAGGGAGGAAATGTCCCCTAGACATGCCCCCCTCCTCCCTTCCAGCCGGCAAACGACTGAAGTTATTGCAGGAAGGCCAGGAAACGAGATGCAGCCTGTAACCTTTGAGGGAAGCAACTCCCCAAAACATGAGCATACAGGCAGGTCGAGGGGAGCGCAACCCACCCACAGAGGGTGGGGGGGGGGGGCACACCAGCAGAGAAGAAGAGAGTCCAGCCAGTTCAGCACGGTGACAGCCGGACGGTCCAGAAATTGGAAACAGCGCTGGAAGCTGAGCAGGCGAGCGCAGGTAGTATGAGGAGCCTTGATGCTGGATAACAAGGCGGAATGGGTGGCCCCAGCGGTATGTAGCCCCAGCTTCCCAGATAACCTCCAGTAAGGGCCGCAGCTTGCCTCGCATAATGTGAGTCTGTCGAGAGACATCTGGGTAGACCCGTACCTCAGCGCCATCAAAGTTAAGAAGACCTTTGGACCAGGCTTTGTGAAGGTTCTCCTCCTTAATGCAGTAAAAATGTACACAGCAGAGGACATCACAAAGAGGTGGCAAAGTGGTAGGGTCTGCATGCACCGAGGGAGGAGGATGAGGGCCCTGGACCTGGTGCACCAAGTGTAGTTCAAGTTCTACATGTGGTGGCTTGTCCAGAAGTTGGTTGAGGATGGCTACCACTGTGGAGAGTAGATCGGGCCCTGCAGGCAGATATTATTCCGCTGGTTCCTATTTTCACTATCATCGATTCTAAGCTGGATGTCAATGTGTTGGCGGTGGCCTGATTAGCCTCTAATGCCTCCAGTTAATTGTCCATATTAGCCTCTAATGCCTCCAGGTAATTGTCCATATTAGAGGTCAAGGATTCCAAGGTATTCACTCTCTCCTTGACTGTGTCAACCTGCTGTTTCAGGTCATGGAGCTCTCGGGACAGTGCCGACATTATGGAGGTGGCCATTACTTGCTTATCTTGCCTGGTAGGTAGGTCAGCGATTAAGTCATGGAGATCACTGTCCTGTCGGGTGCCTGAGATCTGAGAATGGGAAAAGCCAGGGAAATGGGAAAAGCCAGCAGGGGAGTTGGCCTGAGGAAGCACCGGGGTCAGAATAGCTGAGACCAGGCTCAGTGTAGAGATATCTCCCATTTGTGGTGCATGGAGTGGGTTCTTCTTAGAAACAGAGGGTCCAAGCATGCTAACTTGGATGAAGGAGCGGGCACCGGAGAGGGGGCCGTGTGTTGTCTGAAAAAGTAGTGTGTAATCTTCAGTCCCCTCGGCTCACTAGTAGCAGGATGCGATTTCCTCTCACCCGGCATCTAGGGCAGCTCACTGGAAAGGCTAGACTGGTAGTCTCGAGGTCCGGGCCGCAAGTGCGTGTTCATGCCGCCATGACCAAGCCACGCTCCCCAGGAAAATAATTATTTGATACACTGCAGATTTTTGTAGGTTTGCTCACTTACAAAGAAATGAAGGATCTATAATTTTTATCATAGGTGTATTTTACAATGCTAAAGACAGAATATCAACCAAAAATCCAGAAAAAAAAACTCGAAACAAATGTTATAAATTGAGTTGCAATTCAGTGAGTAAAAAAGTATTTGATCCCCAAGCAAAACATGGCTTAGTACTTGGTGGAAAAACCCTTGTTGACATTCACAGAGGTAAGACGCTTCTTGTAGTTGGTTACCAGGTTTGCACACATCTCAGGGTGGATTTCGGTCCACTCTTCTTTACAATCTTTTCTAGATCCTTAAGGTTTCTTGGCCATCACTTGGCAACTTGATGATTTAGCTCTCTCCATAAATTTTCTTGTAGGTTTAAGGTCTGGAGACTGGCTAGCACTTGCGGGCACTGCAGGATTTCAATCCATGGTGGCATATTGTGTTACCAATGGTTTGTTTGGTGGTGACTGTGGCCTTGCTGCCTTGGGATGATTCACAAGATCCTCCCATGTAGTTCTGGGCTCACTTTTCTCATGATCATCCTTACCCCATGAGGCGAAATCTTGCATGGAGCTCCAGATCGAGGGCTATTGATGATTATTTTGTATTTCTTCTATTTACAAAAATTCACTCCAACAGTTGTCTCCTCCCCAAGCTTCTTGCTGATGGTCTTGAAGCCCTTTCCTGCCTTGTGCAGGTCTACAATCTTGTCCCTGACATCCTTTAACAGCTCTTTGGTCTTGCCCATGGTGGTGCCCAAGAAAGGGATTCTGTAGACAGGTGTCTATTAAACACATAATGAGTTGTCATTAGGAGCGCCTTCCTTAATTGACAGGATTAATCTGTATATCACATGAGCACATAGTCAGTCTGTGGGAGCCAGAATTATTCTTGGTTGGCGGGGGATCAAATACTTATTTACTCACTGAACTCCAACTCAATTTATAACATTTGTATCATTTTTTTCCAGATTTTTGGTTAATATTCTATCTTTATCATTTAAAATACACCTATGATAAAAATTATAGACCCTTCATTTCTTTGTAAATGGGCAAACTTACAAAATCTGCAGGGGATCAAATTATTATTTTCCTCACTGTACATGCATTTTGCGTGGTTTTTTTTTCTTTTTTTTTTTTTTTTTATAAGCTCTCTTTAACATTTTATAGCTATAACTCCTCTCATGTAATCTTTTTCTCAGGGCCACAACTTTCTTTTCAAAATCATCATCATTTGTACAGTTACGCGTAAGTCTCAAATACTGGCAGGAGATGTCAGGTGGGGACTAGAGTTATGCAGTATAGCTTTTCTTTCTTTCTTACTTTTCTTGTGTTTTCTTGTTTTCTTTTTCATTGTATAAATAATATAGGTACATGTAAACTGTACTCAATGATTTCTCTAGGCTTCTTATTTGCTATTTATTTGGATGATTGAATGGGTGAACACGTGCTTCATGTTGTATATTTATATAGCTCTATCAAATGTAATAATATTGTTTGAGCGGTTACTTCGGCATGTCTTAGCTCTGTTCAGATCCACACGTGGTTTGTTGTTGGTGTCATACATTGTACATACTTTTCCTATTTTAGGTGCTTTTAATGCATTTTTGTGTGTGTTGCCTTTGAGCAATGTAGTGGGATTGATTTACTAAAGTCAAGTAGACTGTTTACTTTGCAAGTGCAGTTGCACTCATTTTCCCCAGAGCTTAGTACATGTGGTAAAGCTGTGCTGATTTCTATCATCCAATCATGTGCACTCTTTTTTTAAGGGTCCTTTCACACAGGGCAGACTATGTCTGCAATCCGCTTGCTCAGTAGGGGATCTGTTTGCTGATCACCACTGAGCAAGCGGATGACAAGTCCGTG